GGGGGGGCGTCTGGCCAGCCGGCGGCGGGCCCCCCCCAGCCTCTCCCCGCAGCATTGGCGAGAACATCCAGCTGCTGGTGGACCGGCCCGATGGCACCTACTGCTTCCGCCTGCACCGGGACCGCGTCTACTACGTGAGGTGAGCGGGGCCGCGGCGCTGGGGGAGCGCTGGGCCAGGCTGGAAAGCGGTTGCAGGCACGTGTGGCCCTCCCGGCTCGGGAGCTGCTGCAGCCCTGCCCCCTCTCTCCTCAGTGAGAAGCTGCTGAAGGTGGCCACGAGCATCCCCCGGGAGAGCCTGGTCGCGCTGGGCACCTGCTTCGGCAAGTTCACCAAAACGCAGAAGTTCCGGCTCAACGTCACGGCCCTGGACTTCCTCGCACCCTACGCCAAGGTGGGACGTGGCCCCCGCAGCCCAGCCCCATGCGCCCCGGCCCCCCCAGCCCCTCACCTCTCTGTGCCTCTCTCACAGTACAAGGTGTGGGTGAAGCCTGGCTCGGAGCAGTCCTTTCTCTATGGCAACCACGTGCTGAAGTCCGGCCTGGGCCGCATCACGGAGAACACGGCCCAGTACCAGGGCGTGGTGGTGTACTCCATGGCCGATGTCCCGCTGGTGAGTGGCTGGGCCTGGCTCCAGCAGGCTCCGGGGGGGGGGGACACAGCTGCTGGGGTGAGAAACTCCCCGTCCTTCTCACCTCTCCTTCATCCGCAGGGATTTGGGGTAGCTGCAAAGTCCACCCAGGACTGCCGGAAGGTGGACCCCATGGCGATCGTGGTGTTTCACCAGGCTGACGTTGGAGAGTACGTGCGGAGCGAGGACACGCTGACTTAAGGGAGTTGTGCGCTCCGAAGATGTGAGCGATTCTGGGCAGAACGGACCTTGTCCCGTGCCATCTGCGTGTGCTGCCGGCACACGGGGCAGCAGGGAGCCTGCCCCACGCGGGGCGGTAGGAGGCAGCAGCGCTGCCCCACACCTGCTGGGCCCGGGGGGTCCTGCCGCTGTGAACAGGAGCTGGCGCTCCCCAGAGTGGCAGGTTTGGCGTTGCAATTACATAAAGCCGTTTCCCCCTCTCGTTAACTGTCTTTTGTCTTGTGCAGCGCTTCAGGGTGTCCGTCCTCATCCCCCGTGCTGAGGGTTGATTTATGTTTTGAGTTTTCCTTGCTCAGGTTGGTGTCAGATGGTAACACACGCAGAGTGTGAATCCACAGGGATCTGCGTCAAATCAAGCAGCCAGGGCTCGTGGGGAGGCAGCCTGGCAAAGCTGACAGCTGTGCTTCCCTGGGAGGGAGGAAGCAGGCAGGCAGCTACCTGCAGGGTAGGTCTTGCTTCGCTTCGGCTTGCAGGGGATGGACTGCAGCCAGCGCTCTCTGATTGTGCCAGGGGTTTGTTTATTGTGTTTCTAAGAGGAAAGGCATGTTAATACTCTGTCTTTAAAGACTGGCAGAGATATAACATTGTTCCCAACAAACACAAAGTTAAGGCAATTACTTCAAGCTTTTTTCCTTCAAAGTGATATCAGTAGAGGCAGGGCTAGAGCTGAGTAGGAAGGAGCCCAGGGAATTCTGTGCATCCAGCTGCACTGCCTCCTCCCTGAGACAGAACCGGGTCCTCCCCTCCCCGTCCTGCGGCAGCAGGGGGACTGGTGTGAAGATGCAGAGGAGCAGTTCAGTTCCTGTTGGCTGCAGGCAGAGGCAGGCTGGGTGCTGGTGCTGCCAGCTGTGTGGGATGTTGGTGGTGCTCAGAGCCCCTAGCACCTTGGCCTGGTAGTGGGCTGCACAGCAAAGAGCCGCTTCAAGAAGTAGAGCTGTAGCACCCCAGAGAAGACAATAACGCAGCTCTGAGCCAGTGACCACCAGTTGACATAGTTGTAGTTGGACTCGAGGAGGAAGGAGTCAGCCCCTTTCCTCATCCGGGCGAAGTTGTAAAACCTCCACATGTGGAAGATGTGGACCTGCAGCTTCCGCATGCTGACCTGCGGCCAGAGCGAGGGGCGAGAGGAGGAACCTCAGCAGCTGCAGGACGCACTGCTGCAGCAGCTGCACTGGGTAGAGACTGTGGTAGGAACACTCTGACAGTTAGCTATGGGGTTCCCAGCCTCAGACAGACCATGGGCTGCGTCGCCCAGCACCAGCCCTGCTGGGAGCCGGTGGTGGGAACAAGGCCCTGGGCACTACAGGCTGGTAGTTGCAGCGTGCTTTTAAGTGCTAGCAGTGATAGACTCTTCAATTCCCAGCGGAAGGACTTGCCCTTCCCCTGTGCAGCCTCAGCAGGCTAGAGGCCAGCAGGGGAGCGGTGAACCGCTGGAGCTCCTGGCATGCCAGTGCAGGTTCCCGTAACCGACGGCCACTTTTTCATCCTGCCTAGCTCCTGGCTGTCAAAGCCAAACACCTTGAGGTCCCCATCCATTTCCAGAATGAAGCTGCTCCATTAAATTTTGCTGTTGTCTTCCTGTCAAGCCAGGTTTTGTCTTTGTGACCCATGTGCTATTTCAAAACACTCTGTGGTAGAAGTGGCACTTACCCCGATGGCATCCAGGGTGTCATTCAACTGTTTCCTCTCTTCCTGTTGCTCATTCTCCACATCAAAGCCTTGGTAGTACACACCAAAGTTGAGATAAACCTGCATGAAGCCAAAGTGGTTGTGCTGGTTGTCCAGGCACAGCTGGTAGAAACCTGCAGAGAGAAGTGGGGATTTTGGTTCCCTGAGTCAAACAGCTGCTGACAGACAGAACCATGCCCCTCGCTCGACTCTAATCCCATCTGTGAGGGAGTGAGACCTATCTTGTGGATGAATCAATACTCTAGGAGATTTTGCTGTCTAGGCCAGCTCAGAGACGCATGCTAGCTGGGGAGCTCACAGCCTTCAGACTCCAGTCAGCATCAGTCTCTTAATTGCCTGCAGCTCTCAGAGGGGCCCAGGAAGGGACTAGGGTAGCTGAGACCTGTCTCCTTGGTTGGAAAGTTGATCTGTCCTCGCACGTGCTGGGAAGAACCAAGCCGGAAGCCATTGGGGTCATTCACCGTGGCCAAGATGTGCCTGTTGCTCGCCATCCCTGATGCCCACTGCACCTAGAGGCAGGAAACAGATGGAAGTGCAGGAGCTCCGCTCTCACCTAGCGGAGACCTGTGAGCACTGCTGCCCAGTAGCTGTAAGAGTCCATCAGGATCGCACTGCTAGAAATCCTGTGGCTGCTCTAAGGGGGAGTCCACCCTCCGAGGGCAGCCCAGGCTGTGTTTGAGCCAGACACACTGAGGACCAGTCCCAGAGCCAGCCTGGTTGGAGTTACAGCATGACCGGTGGCCGGACCATGCTGGCAATCCAATCCCTCAGCAGAGGGGATGCCATTTCCCAAGTGCCTCCCGCAGGGCATTGCCAAATCAGTCTGGAGGAAGGCGTGCAGGAAGGGGAAGGCAGATGGAGCCAGCGCTGTGCACGTTTAACAGCGTTACATGGTGGAAGAGAACAGTTTCCCATGGAAAGGAGACTCAGCCACGTCTGTTTCTGCTTCCAGTGCAAGAGTCCAGTGCCAGAGACCACCCTGCGGGAGATGTGGAGCACAGGGACCCTGCTGGCTCTCTCTGACACCATCCTTTCCAGTCGCACAGAGATGCACATGCTCCACTTTCCCTAGCAAATACAGTTCTTTCTTCCACCTCTCTGCCCTTCCTGGGAGCCCAGGCTGGCAGCGGTGAGGTGCTGACCTGGGAACTATCTACTCCTTCCAGACCTCTGCGATTATCTGAGGAGCTCCCTCTCCTTTGCCAGGGTGTTCACCTCCACCATTCCCCAGGGACCTTCGTGTGCCTGACTCAGCACCCCAGGAAAGAGAGAAACCTCTTTCCTGGTTTCCTGGAAAAGAGAGCATATTGGCTCTGCCCTGCAGCCAGGGATGAAAACGTCTTTTCCAGTGAGCTGCCAGTTCCACATAAAGAGACAAAAAAATTCACAGGCCCGAGTAACTTAACCCCTTAGTTCCCCATCCTCATTCCTGTAGCGCTGCTGGTGGCAGCGCAGACCCGAGCGGGGCCTTGGCCATTGCCCTGCCCAGCTGCAGGCAGGGGACGAGGGTCTGCGCTGCGAGGGTCTCCCCGCCCGGCGGTTCAACCTGGCTCCTTGCCGTTAGGATTCAGCACAGCCAGGACTGCCACTGAGACGCTGCTGCTCGGCGCTGGAGCTTTGGGGCCGGCAGGCAGGAGACCACAGCTGGAGATGGGGCTGGGCTGGCGCTCGGTCGCTAGGGCTGTTCCCACACGCGAGTTCCTGCACACACCGCTCTGCCCAGCGCTCCCGCCTGCTGAAGCAAGTGCGTCTCAAACGCTGGACACTGTTGTGCCCACGCTCTCCTTCAATCAGCCTAGTGTAAACAGCAGATAAAGGGGCTGGAGTTTCCCTCATGGAAAGGGGACAAGCAGATATGGCTGTGCCCAGGAGACCTTCAACACTCCTGCTCGCAGCTCAGAGGAGAGCGGAGATCTTGTGTAACAGCCTCCAACCCGCTCGGCCCAGAGCGGAGCTCCCCGCAGCACTGAGGCCTCACACGCGCTCATAGCTCCTTGTGAGCTCCCGCAGGTGCCCTGGGCCAACGCCTGGAGCTCTCAGCGCCCGCAGCTCCTTCTGCTCGCGCACACACTCGAGCGTGCGGCAGCCCCGAGAGCCAGGCTCGCCGGCCTCAGCTC